GTGTTTGTCTTTTAATAACTTGTAGTCATTTTAACATATTCTAGATTATAATACTTTGTCAGTTATATGTATGCAAATATATGTTCCCATTTTACACCTTATCCATATTTTTAATAAGATTTTTAAGGTGCCTTTTGAGGCACATAGGTTTTTTTTTTTTTACTAAAGTATCATTGATATACAATCTTGTGATGGTTTCATGTAACAACACTGTGGTTTCAACAGTCACCCACTTTATTAAGTCCTCACCCCTCTATTGCAGTCACTGTCCATCAGTGTAGTAAATTTTTCTACAGTCATTACTTGTCTTCTCCATGCTATACTGCCTTCCCTGTGACCTACCTATATTTTGATTGTGAATTATAGTGCCTCTTAAATCTCCTTCTCCTGCCCTACCCACCTTCCCCAACCCCTCCCCTTTGGTAACCACTAGTTCCTTCTTGGAGTCTGTGAGTCTGCTGCTGTTTTGTTCCCTCAGTTTTGTTTTGTTTTGTTTTGTTTTTATACTCCACAAATGAGTGAAGTCATTTGGTATTTGTCTTTTTCCGCTTGGCTTACTTCACTGAGCATAATACCCTCTAGCTCCTTCCATGTTGTTGCAAATAGTAGGATTTGTTTTCTTCTTATGGCTGAATAATATTCCATTGTGTATATGTACCACATTTTCTTTATCCATTCATCTACTGATGGAAACTTAGGTTGCTTTCATATCTTGGCTATTGTAAATCGGAGGCACATGTTGATGTATAAAATTTATCAATCTTTTTTCTTTTTGGTTTGTGGTTTTTGATATCTTGCCTAAGAAGTACTTTGCTATCCCAAGGTGGTAAAGATATTGCTCTTATAAGTGTTAAAGTTTGCCATTCCCAATTCTTTCTTTAATCAATCTGTAATTGATATTGGTATATGGTATAAGGCCATTCCCTTATACCATATATATACCCTTATACCAGATATAACTTCATTCCCCCCCGCCCATGGATAACTAACTGTGCCAGCAGTATTTAGTGTCATAGATTAACTTCTCTGATCTGTACGGTCTGTTTCTGGGCTTCCTTTGCTGCCTATGTTAACATGTGTCAATCCCAGAATCACTACCGTAATGGTTTAGTTCTCATCACTGTATTTAAGTCTTGATGGCTGTGAAGGTATGTCCCCTTCCTCATTCTTCTTCAGGAATGTCTTGGCTCTTCTTGTCCTTTATTTTTCACATGAAGCTTAAGATAAGGCTGTCATGTCATTTGAAGAATCCTATAGAGATTTTGGTTGGAATTTCAATGGATTTATATACATATTAAGTTAAGAAGGAAATGATATTTTCATTAGTTTGCATCTTTCCATCCACAAATGTAGTGTATTTCTGCTTTTAAAAACATCTTTTCTATCCTTTAATAGTTTTATAATTTTCCATATAAAGCATGCTTATCTTTTGTTAAGCTTATTAAAAAAATATTTTTTTGGTATTTAGAAAGTCATCTTTTCCACAATTACATTTTCTGATTGATTGATGCAGTTGATAAGTGCATATTGATCTTGAGTCTTATTACTTCTGAAGTTTGAACAGTTTCAGTGTAGACATTATCTGTACTGCCTACAAACATTTTAGTATTGTCTATTATTGGTAAGTAACAGTTTATTTCTCTTCAATCTTCGTTTCTCTTTCTCTCTCTTTTTCTTACTGCATTGACTAGGGCTTCTAGAACAAAATTAAGGTTTGCTCTGTGTTGTACGTATGTACACATAAAACCAATGCAGGCATATCTTAGAGATATTGTGGGTGAGTCCCAGACCACTGCAATCAAGTGAATGTTGCAATAAAGCAAAGCAAAGAACTTTTTGGTTTCCCAGTGCGTGCATAAGTTATGCTTACATTATACTCTTGTATACATTATACTATTAAGTGTGCAATGGCAATATATCTATAAAAAAGTATGTGTCTTAATTACAAAATACTGCTAAAAAATGTTAACCTGAGCTTTCAGTGAGTTATAATCACTGATCACAGATCACCATAACAAATATAATAAAGAAAGAGTTTGAAATATTGTGAGAATTACCAAAATGTGACACAGAGATACAAAGTGAGCAAATGCTATTGGAAAATAGCATCAACACATTTGCTCAACACAAGGTTGCCACAAATCTTCAATCTGTAAAAACGTAGTATCTGTGAAGCACAATAAAACATGGTATGCCTCTATTGAAATTCTGGTTGAAGAATGAAAAATAAATACACAAAAAATTCTTTCTGAGCCACAAAATGTATATATTAATTTTTATTATGTGAATTAGGGAGAAACAGATATAAAATTCAGAAGAAAACTAGATATTTGGAAATAAACCAGACATCTAGGGAAAAACAACTCACAAATAACCCTATCAAATACCTAAGTATTCATTCAACATGTTTAATTTCTGAGACCTACAGGAAACTCAAGTGAAGATCACAAAAAAAAAATCATGGAGAAAATTATGAGAATTGTTTAGGATTTATTTCAGATCATTTTACATCTGTTTGGAGGTGTTTTAAGACACAGGATTTCTTATGGAGAAAATGAAAATAAGAAAGGACAGTTTAGAAATTTGCCCTAATAAGAGCAAAGTGGGATGGCCTTCAAATCTCTATACATTTTTGGTGGTAAATTTTTTTCCTGCATTTTAACATAGGCCTTGTCCGTATTATAAAGTGATTAAGTGATCATCACCTAACCTTTTCCCTACTTGGCGCGTTTTCTGCTCCTTACTTTAGGTACCCACTATTCTGTCTTTTGGTAATCTCTCAGTTCTCATCTTCCTGGTTCCTTATTTAAGTTTGTCTTTCCCCCTTTTAATACAGCACACTGTAGAATTTCCCAAGCTAGAGGAATCCTGAGACAAAAGGGGTTGCATGGTCAAATGAGTTTGGGAAATACAGTGCCAAGCAAAATCCAACAGCTTACTTTACTGCAAGACTTCTAGAGTCTTCATATTCTAATGTGTATTGTGAATCTCTACATGGGAAACGTAGCCTGCAGTGTTTCCCCAATAAATTGATCATTGAACCCTTTTCAAAGAATAGCTAATAATACCTCATATGACCCAGTTAATTAATCTTCAGATAAAAACTTCCAGTTCTTCAGTAAACTTTTCTTTAGTGGAAGACATGTTATATGCTCTCTCACTACTGGGTTGTAAAGACTTTGAGGGCAATATCTTTTTTCTTTAAGTATTACTTGATGCTATTATTTATTGAAACTGGCACTCTGCCTCTTCTGTAGTTTCTGGAATGGGCATACTGGGTACCACCCAAGAGTTTGTGTATGGCAGACTTTTGCTAAATAACCCAGTTTAGCTTTCAGGATATTTTTACTACACCTCAATTCAACTAGTTTTGATGCTTTATTCGAGGCCCTGAGTTAGGCACTGCTGGTGCTAAAATGTGAGTAAGATCTAGTTACACCTCCCTGGAGTATGTGTAACAGAGATAAGACAAGTGCATAAAGTAAAACACAAGTTAAATGCTAAACAAGAGGTACCAACTACCTTGGGTTTCAATGGAAAAATAATGACAATTGGCAGCTGGATGAAGGAGACACATGGGAAGAATCAGTAAACATTTCTTGGATGATGCATCATTTGGGATGGGCCTTAAAATTTTTTTAATGTAGACAGAGTATTGGAAGAGTGATGTAACAGGTGGAGGATAGAGCAAATGGAGGCGTGAAGGTAGGAGTGAGGGACAGTTGCAAGTGGCTCTTTTTGGCAGGCCATGTAAGTGTATATATAGAGTGAGCTTTAGATGGGGTATAGGGGTATATATAAAATATATATAAAACTGTGTGTAATAAAAATGGGAATAATAGCTTCCGTGCCAGTGTGAGTTAACGGGGCTGTCGATGGAGAGCCACTGAAGAATTTTTGAGTGGGAACTTGATACAGGGACCACTTGCTCCTCTCGCGTCCTTTGTAGGGTCTCCAGAGCTCTAGTTCCTTTGCCTCTGTCCAGCACGGCAACGTATCAGGACTTCAGCCAGTGAATCAAACTGCCAGACTCCTGACCTGCCTGTAGAGTACCTTCTCTTGGAAAGCTGTCCAAAGGGCAACAGAAACCCTGGCATTAGATTCTAGTGAACGGCGCACCCGCTCCTCAGAATACTCTCAGAATCCAGAATGTGGAGAAGAGGGTGTTCAGATGAAGAACAGAGATAAGAGGTCATTGGTGGATTGAATGATAATACTCTGGGGAGTTCTGATTTCAGGATGTTAAAGAGGAAACAAGAAAAAAAGATGGGTGTAGAGAGTAAATCTAAGTAGTGATAATGGACTGTAGCTAGTCAGGCGTTCAGGCAGCCCAAGACTAAAGCTGGCACTGGGGTGCGGCGAAGGGTGAAACCCAACAGGAGGGTTAGTCTGAGGTCACCCCACCCACAAGGCCTTAGAAACTCTACCCCTCCTAGTGAAATGCTGGAAGGCCTGGCCCCTCCCGGCTGTTGAGATGGGCCTGGAGAAGCTTGTGTGTTTGACGTGGCCTTTGAGGTCATCAGGGTCGCGGGGGGGGCGGGTACCCTCGGCGTGGGAGAGCCTCAAGGTCTCAGAAAGCCGGCGCCCGCCAGGGAATCAATAAAGGAGGCAGAGCGAAGCCGTGGTGTTTTGCTGCGGTCAGGGCAGGGCTGTAACTCGGCTGTGCGCGGCGCAGGGTTCCCGCCCGGGCCTAGGACGGCAGGGACGGGCCCCTCCTAAGCCCCCGGCCGCGGGCTGGAGCGCGCCCCGGCTCCCGCCTCCGGGGCCCTTCCCGTCCCGGCGGGCAGGGAGGAGCGGCGGCGGTCGGCAGCAGCGGCCGGAGCTCTCTCTCTTCCTCCCGTTGCAGGTGAGCCCGGGGGAGCGGCAGGCGGAGGCGGGGGCGCGCGCCATGCAGCTTCCCGCCGCGGCCTCCAGCCCGCCGCCCCCGCCGAACCGCCGTCCGCAGCCCCTGTGAGGAGGAGGAGGAGGAAAGGCGGCGGAGGCGCCGCCCCCTTGGCGAGCTCCGCGACCTGGAGGCCTCCGCAGGACCCATGGCGGACTCGCCCGCTCTGCCCCTGCGGGAAGGCGGCCCCCGCGCGCCCCGGCCCTCGGCCCCTTCGCCGCCGCCGCGCTCGCGCCCCGGCTCCGAGGCCGAGGAGGCCGAGCTGTCGCTGAGCCTGGCCCGCACCAAGACTCGCTCGTACGGCAGCACGGCCAGCGTGCGGGCGCCGCTGGGCGCCGGCGTCATCGAGCGGCGTGTGGAGCACCGGGTCCGCGCCGGCGACACGCTGCAGGGCATCGCGCTCAAGTACGGAGTCTCGGTGAGCAGGGCGCGCGGCGGCGGGGGCCCCGGGGGTCGCGGAGGCAGCCGGCCGGCCCCGCGCGGCACGCGCTGGAGGTACCGCCGTGGTCGCCACGCCGGACCCGTAGCTGGAGGCGGGCCGCCGCGGCTCCCTCCCCGGGTACGTGCATGGAGCTCCCGGTGCCCTGCCGGGACAGGGACCAGATCTGCCGTGTGAGGAAGGCCACAGAGGACCGGGGCTTTGGCACCACTTGGAGCCACGGTCACCCGATTTTCAGCCCCTTTCATACTGTCTACTCAAAGCCGAACTGAGGTGTGGACCTGGGCAGAGTTATATTTTCTGTGTAAACAAGCGCTGTGATGAGTCAGGAAAGGAACAGTTGTTCCCTCAATCGATGGTTCTGGTTCTATCGATTGTTCTTTGTTTAGAAGTGAAATTATATCCCGGGGCACACTGGCAATTGTGAATGTGACACCCGTCGCTAAGCAGCCCCAAACTGTCTTCTAGGTGAGCCGGAAAGCTGTGTTCATTATACATTTATAAGTGTGTGTGTCTTGGGCATATTGCATTACACCTCTGGGAAGAACATGGAAACCTGAGGAAACATTGTTTCACTAAAATTTCTAATAAATAACTCTGAGCTATGTGATGGCTTTTTTACATTTGAGTTCTGTATAAGTTTTCAATATTCTTTCCTGAAGAAGCTTAGACAGCAATGGGAAGAAAGGTGATCTTATCTATATCTTTCTCTTAAAGTGAAACTCTTTCTGGCCCTGCACCACATGGGAGACTGAGTAATCTGTTTTGCTGGTACATAGATGTTTGCCTAGCAGGTTCTTCTATCATTGAAACAGTTTGAGAGCAGGGGTCTTGCTGTGCAGGTATGTACTGACATTATCATGCCATAGATAATCCCTTTCTGCCCTTTTGGGAATTTCTAAATGTGGACCGAGAAATACAGTTCTTCTGGGCATTGAAGGGGCCTGGTTTGGGTCAGAGCCAGAGGAAAGCAGAGTTGGGAAATATCAGTAGCTACCTTCTGCTGAATGATTGCTGTGTGCCAGGCATTGCATTTGTCCTGTTCCATCTTGTTCTTATTCAGTTTGGTTTTCCTAATAAGCTTTGGAGATAAGTGTAATTAAGGTTTATACTGTTTACAAGATGTATCATGTGTCTGCCAGTACCTACATCACTATTGTCTTGTATGGTACAAAACACTGTAGATATCTGTATTACTAACAGTAGATATAAAAAATGAAAATACAGTGTGAAAAAGAAATTCCTATTAATTTACAGGTGTAATGATTCATGCATTGATAATGAAGCAGCAATATGATTGCTTTATGATAGCCTATGTAATTGATACCATTGCTTCATATAGACCAGCCTGTACACTAACGAATGGACCATTTAAAAATGCTTATGGTAAAAAAAAATGCTTATGGTATAGAGTATTATATTCATATTCATAATACAATATTGGACAGATCGTCTCCTTAATTTTTTTGGTAAATAACTCTATAGCTGTAAGTAGTCTATTGCAGGGTTTTTCAACCATAGGACTGAATAATTATTTTTTGTGGGGGGGGTTGTCCCATACATTCTAAGATGTTTAGCAGTATCTCTGACCTCTGCCTACAAGATGCCAGTATTACCTTCCCACCACCATCGAGTTATTGCCAAGTGCTCCCTGGGAAGAAACTCATTCTTTGTTGAAAACCAGTGGTTTATTACATGTATATCATTTACTTTGGGCCCTAAACTAGAGCTGATGAAGTTTTTAGAGACTCTTCCACTAGCTATATAGAACCAGTGAAGGTGATAATACTGTAACAGGGAAGTAATATTCCTGCATTCATTAGTATCTCCAAATATTAATTGAATTACTCATTGTAAATTGAGATTTTAGGTGGAAGCTACAAAGACAGAAAGGTTTCTTTTTTCCCTAACTGAACAGAAAGAAGTCGTATGAATTAAGTTTCTAATACTGACTGCCAAGATCATCAACATATTTAAGTCATTGTTTAAAGGAGTAAGTGATGATATGTTGGAGATTTAGAGACCCAAAGCAGTGTACCTGGAAATGAAGTCGGTCCTGGCAAACATTTGACTTTAACATCCCATATGGGGCAAAAGCAGAGCAAAGCTCTGCAGTCCTACTTAGAGGAGCAGGAACTCTCAGGAAAGCCTGTCTGCTGCTGACAGCTCCCCAGCTCCCCAGCTGGGAGTCCAGGCAGGACTCAGTCTCTTGGTAGGGGTACTGATAAGAACCAGTAGTATTTTAGGCACTGAAGGTTTCCAGAACAGAGACTCTGATGAGGGGTGAACATAGAGACCCAATTGCCAACCCTGGATTACCAAGGAACAAATTGGAAACTGGTTATTTGAAGTGGTGTTCAACTGCTTGTAGCAGAGTACATCCCAAGGCATGTGAATAGATGTGTTCCTCAAATTTGACAGGAGAATGCCTTGGAACAGACTAGCTGACTTTAAACCTATTGGATCAGAATATCCAGAAAAGGAGCATGAAAAAAATATGAAAAAATCTTCATGTTTTACAAGCATGACTTCTTTGTTTTTCCCCAAAGCACTGTCCTTTCTTGGGTTTTTTGCACTTGCTATTTCATCTATATGAAACATTCTTTCCCTGATAGCTGCATGCAGGACCCACTTCATGGGTGTGTGACCTGGGCAGCCACCCAGAACCCCGTGCTTTAGCAGAGCCCTGCACTTGGTTTAATGCTCTTTCATTACCATCTTGAATGTTTAATAATTTGTGAACAAGGACCCTATTTTCACTTTTCACTGGGCTCTGCAGATTGTGTGACTTGTTTCCTCACTGCCTTCAAGTCTTTGCTTAAATGTCTCCTCCATGAAGCCTTCCGGACTACTTGCTTAAATGTCTCCTCCATGAGGCCTTCCGGACTACTCTGTCAAATTGCAGCCGTCCTCCACACTTGCCCCTCTCCCTGCCCCACCTTATATTCCCAGCAGCATTTATCATTCCTTCTGCTTTTTCTTTTTCTTTGTTTGCAGCTTCTATCTTTCTGGGTAATGACTAAATAAAAATTCATTCCCTCATGGAACTTTTATTTTAGTCAGAGGAGACAGTACGTAAACAAACAAAATATGTTGTATGTCAAGTACTGATGGGCGAAATGAAAGAAAATTAAGCAGGGAAAGGACATACAGCTGGTGGAAGGGCTGCCATTTAAAATGGTAGGGCCATGGAAGACCTCACTGAGGAGGTGGCGAGGGAGGGAGACATGCTGAGATCTCTGAAGGACATTCCAGGGGGAAGGACCAGTGAGTAGTGCAAAGGCCCTAAGGTGGGAGCATATTGGCAAGTTCTGGGAATAGCAAGGCTGGTGCTTAGAATGCAGTGGGCTGTGTTTGGACCAGATCACTTAGGGCCTTAAAGGCCATTGTTAAGAACGGTGTTTTTCTCTGAGTGAGTTGGGAAGCCTTACAGGCGTTTGAGCAGAACAGTGACATAGATCTGATTTATGCACTAAAAGGATCACTCTGGCTGCTCCTTAAGAGAATAGGCTGTAGCAGGGAGTGCCAAGGCATCAAGGACAGATAGGATGGAGTTTGCAATCATGCAGGTGGGAAGATAGTAGCTTGAAACAAAGTAGTAGGGTAATGTAAGTGGTTGGATTCTAGATGATTTGTTGATATGCTACAAATTTTCTGCTTATTTGTTTACTATTTTGTTTGAATATCTCTTCCCAGGAGATAGGCCCAGGGATCCAGAAGGCTTCTCTATAGGAAAGAAAAATATGGACATTCCATGGGGAAGACAGTGTAGCACAGAGAAGGCAAATAGTGACTCTGTGGCATCTTACTACACTGATGGACAGTAACTGCAATGGGGTATGGGTGGGGACTTGATAATATGGGTAAGTGTGGTAACCACATTGTTTTTTCATGTGAAACCTTCATAAGAGTGTTTCTCAATAATACCTTAATAAAAAGAAAAAAGAAAAAAGAAAAATGTGGGCATTCAAGAACATGGCCAGGTTTGACTACCTGATGGATCCCAGTTCTTCTGCTAGTGACTTAGAAAATATCTTAATGACCCGTCCCACCATTTGTTTTAAAGTCACTCATACATCTTGATAACTGACATGAATTATTATTTTTTACCTACTTATTATTGAGCCTGGTTTGTTTGAGGCCATGCTAGGTTTTGATGCTACAAGATAATATATGCTATCCTCTTTTTATTCTTGGTGAGTTTAATCAGCTGTGCTTTCAATGCCTGTAGCTGCTTGAGAAGCCAGGCTGCTTGTCTGATTCATTGCTGTATAGTCTGTGTCTAGTCTGAGTCTGGCACATCGTGGGCACCCCACATATGTGTGGACTTAAGCCACAGGAAAGCTTGACTGGTATGAAATCATGGGGTCCTGGAGTTGAGCAGACCCTGAAAGATAGTCCCCAGCTTGGGGGTTGAGTGAGAAGGTGCAGTCTGCTTGACTTGAATTGCAAAGTTTGATCTGAGGCTATGTCTTCAACCTACAGCAAGAAGACTGCTGGTTCTTGGTGCTGGTTCCCTCCTCTTCCACCAGCAGCAGGTCTTCACACCGAATTAAATACAGTTTTAGATTTGAGCATCTCTACCAGAGTTAGAGGCAATTGAGGAAGTGGGTCTGAGAAATTGAAACTATCTGGGCTGAGTTGAGAAACTGTTAAGTACAGTTGAGATATCAGACATGAACTTGCTTGGGTTGGATTTCCCTGGCTGTGCTTATCTCCACCAAGACATTAAGGCCACTTCCCGAACCCAAAATTGCAGATTTATGGCTACGGCTTTTGTGGCGATCCTAGTTCCTCTCAGTTGGATGTACGCTTCTGTAGCAAACAGTTCCAGGCAGCCACTGTGAACTCTTTGTTCAGAGACCCTGGAAAAACACAGAGAACAACATAGAAACTGAAGGTGGGTAGAAGCCAGTGAGGGGACCTATTATTTGCATAAACTTTTTCTTCCTCTCTTTGCTTTGCTTGGCAACTTGCTG